AGTCAATCGGAGAAGCATACGATGAATTAGAGCATCAAAAGTTAAGTCGTAGTCACCGGGAGCCAATTCACAAGCCGCGAAACGTCGTTCGCAACTCGCGAATCCAGTTTTGCGGGTTGTCCAGAACTAAGCAAGCAACTTTTGCGCCTGCAAAATCGCCCAGCTCGCGAGTTCCTCTCGGACCTCAAGCAAGGATCCACCAAATTTTCAGCTGTCCAATCTTTCCAGTTCTTCCAGGCCTGTAATAATTTGGTAAAACCAATTTCGATTAAAAATTTTTAGTACGATACAAATTAATTGGTTCGGAAAAACTCAGTACTTACGAAGCTCTAGAGGCCTTCTATGTTCTCCCCTTGCCGCACACAATTGTTTTTCTGGCCACTAATGATTTCCAAGAGTAGCACCCCAAAGCTGAAGACACCCGAATTTATCGAAAATTGTCCGTGCATCACGTATCTGGGGACATATATCCACTGCCACGTGAAAAAAATAATTGTGGGTGAGTGAGATTATTGTGAACACCATGAGTTATACCTTACAATGTTCCGACAATCCTGCTCGTGTTTTCTTGAGTCTCTTCTTGCTCAAATAGCCTGGCCATGCCAAAATCCGCGATTTTCGGGTTCATAGAACCATCTAGAAGAACATTATTAGGTTTGAGATCACGGTGAATGATCCTGAGCTCAGAATCTTCGTGCAAGTACAAAACTCCCCTGGCTATGCCCTATATAATTTTGTAGCATTTTTCCCAATCAAGATAAGAACGTTTGACAGGGTCTACACATACGGAATGAATTTCAATTTTAAGATGAATGTATTAGTTGTGAATTGTACTCGAAGAAAAGAGTTAAAATGTAGTGATCATATTTACCGAATATAAATTTGTCCAGGCTCGCATTCTACACAAACTCATAGACGAGAAGTTTCTCAGCTCCTTCTAGGCAAAAGCCCATAAGTCTAACCAAATTCCTGTGTTGAAGCTTGACCAACAATACAACCTCATTCTTGAATTCTATGTCACCTTGTCTTGAGTTCTCGGATAATCTCTTAACGACTATTTCTTGGCCATTTGATAATACACCCTATTTCAAATCACTCTGTGATTTAGTACGTTTTATCTCAAAGTTGTTGCATATGGGCTTTTATTAATATGTCCATTGCATGTACTTAAAATTTTACCTTGTAAACAACTCCAAATCCACCCTGACCAAGCATGTTTTCATATGAGAAATCATTTGTAGCTTCTCTAATTGTGCTTAATTCATACTTAAGAGATTCGGCTGTGCCACTGATGTCGTCATCTTCAAATAGTTGAAAGATATAACTTAGCTGAATATTCCCTTAAAGGTAAATTTTCACACAAAAACATAAATTTCAAAGAATCAAATATACTTACTCTGATTTTGGCCCTCTGGGTTATGTTTTAGTCTCTTTCTTATTAGAACGCAAGCAAATGTAGCTACTATTACAACGATGAAACTGAGACAACAATGATAATCGTTCTGGTTGTATTGTTGTCATCACCACCTGTTTCTGCAGAATTGGAATAATTTGTTTGTTGTAATCATATACAACAAAAAACTCCATATTTCATTTTCGACCACAATACAATGCTGAAGAAAAGAGCATTTGAAAGTACTAAAAAGTCGGTGGAAGACCAAATTTGCATTTCAAAAAGTGAAAGGACTGAAACCAAAACATTCCACAACCCCAAAAAGATAAGCCCAATTACCGGCCTGCGGCGGAGACGGCCTCTCAGGGCCCAAAGGCGGTTGAGGTGCTGGCGTTGGAGGCGCCAGCTGGATCTCCCGTGTGAGGAAAAATTGGTTTTGTACCAACTTAATGGCTCCACTTTTAGTTAGTGGAAGACTTAGAAAATTCTCAAAACCATTTTAAGGTGAATGAGAAATTAATTCTAAGTGTTATATATCGAACAATTGAATTTAAGTAATTCAAATGTTGTAAGGTTCACAAAACATTAAAGTTTGACTAATATTTAGACAAACTAAATGAGTCATAATCTTGCATTAAGTATGCTAGAATTATGGAAGGGCTCGTTGGGGACAAGTAGGAAAAAACGGAACTAAATTACGAGTCCGAACGAACGCGTACAAGCTTTCGGAGCGCAGCTGCGCGCCAGGCCCCGTCGCGGGCGCGACACTCTGTGCACAAGACCCGTCGTGGGCGCGCGATCAAGCGCGGGCGCGAAAGTCTACTTTGTCGGAGCTTCTGTCCTACGCGACAGGGCGTTGCGGGCGCGACGAGCTCGCGACACTGACGCACCTATTCGTATTGGAATGGTTTCTAACCGAATTTAATCCACCGGGTACGTCTCAAAAGGTGTCTTTTGATGCCTCGAACCTCCTGGAGATGTGTTATAACATCTATAAATACCCATGAAGTGAAATGGTCATTAATATGAAATATTTTCATAACCTTTGCATCCTTTTACAAAGTTCATATTCATATTGTGTTCTTAATTCTTTCTTTCCTATCTTAAGAGTTCAAAACATAAGTATTGTTCGCCGAAGTTTAGTGTATTTGAGTAACCACTATACACAAATCGAAAGTCGTTGTATCTTGGAGGCGTTAGCCGTGAACCGTGGGTAATATACGGGGCTATTTCGTCTTAAGGAGA